ATCGATCAGCTGCCTCCTGCACACTCCCTACTGGGTATGTGCCCGCAACCAATGCACATGCCCTTGACCAGAATCGAACCTGGGACCCTTGAGTCCGCAGGCCAATGCTCTATCCACTGAGCCAAACCGGTTAGGGCTGGGCCTGAACTTTTAAAATCAATGGCAGTTGCACCCTGTCTCCTGAACAGCAAAGGCCCCCCAACAACTCCAGGTTAAAATCGGCAGACCCCCATTCCCCTCGCCATTGTTTAGGGAAAAAACCCAAAAACCTTTCTTTAAGAGAAATATAATTGAGCCTAGCTGGCTGCACTAGCCTATTTTTCTATTTTCCTCCAAAGCGAATGCCAGACATTTTTGGGGGCCAAAGACAGGATTAACATTTCTCAGCCGGGTAGACACACCCATCTGGGTTCAGCACAGGGAGCATTTCCTGTAAGCAGCCTGAAGGATCCAGGCCACAAACTTAGAGTTTAAATTCTGAAAGTGATTTTTCCATCCTGGAAGCTGCTTCCGTTACAGCTTCTTGCAGATGAACCTCAGGCAAGCGGCAATCTTCCCAGCCATGGCACTTCTGTGACGAGTCTGCCCACTGGGAACCGTGTGAGGAGGCCACCTGGAGGCTGGGCAGAGTGACATACCTGCTCTGAGCACCTGCACACACGCCAGACATCAGGTTAGACTGAGCAATGCCAGGGGACCCAGCTCTGAGCTCCATCCTTAAAGACCTGCGGTCCAAGGTGGGGGACACGTTTCCCTGTAACAAGCCCGGAGCCTGGGAGTAGGCGGCAAACCCTGGTGCTGTGAAAGCTGTGCCCAGCATGGGGGTGAGGATGTGATTGACATTGGAGTTGAATAACAGTCAGTCGTGTGAAGAAAGGTGGGGACGGCATTTCAGGCAGAAGCAAGCTGAGACCCAAAGGTCTGAAGTGTGTGTGTGTGTGTGTGTGTGTGTGTGTGCGCGCGCGCTCGCATTCCAAGCAGCTCAGGATTCAAGTGCAAGACGAGACTAGCCGGGTACACGTTTGCTCATCACCATCATTTTCAGCATCAGGAAGTCCTCTGGGAACGGCCCCGGGGGCATGTCTTCAATCCACTAGATTTCTAGGGCACGAGATTCAGAGCATGATGAGTCCTCCCAAGATGTGCCCAGGCCGAGCGCTCTCATTGCCAAGCTCCATCTTAGCGGGCATATGGGGCCTAAGTGTTAGAATGAGGTTCAGTGGGTGGCAGATTGGTCTGAGGAGGCTGGGGCACCAGAGCCCCGAGCAGGAGGGGGACTTGTGGACACAGCAATCAATCCAGGAAGGTCTCTCTCGGCTCTGGCCACAGGAACAAGATACAGGGCGGTTGCAGAGGTCCCGAGGCAGGGGGCCACAGGGTGATCTGGTAGCAGATTCCGCTTTGCTCAGCGTTCCTTCTGCGGAAGACTTGGAGCAGGCAGGGCCTGGCTCCTGAGGCAGGAGCTCTGCAGTTTCATTTGTTTGTATCCTACACAATTTGGGGGAAGTGTGCTTAGCAAGGGAGGGCTGAACGAATGAAACCTGCGACACCTGGCTGCCATCAGCTCACGCATGGGAACCCCAGTGCGGGAGCTAAAGGGAGCCAGACAGACCTGAGTTCCAGTCCTAACCCTGTAGGTTGCTATGGGGCTTAAACTACTGAATTTCACCAAGTGCCAGATTCTTTGTTGTTCAAATGGGGATAATGTTGCTCATGGGCTATGGTGGGTGTCAAACCAAGTATGAGTGTGAGGTCTGGCATCACAATGAGTGTTTAATAATAATGGGTTTTTTTCCCAGGTGCCCAGATAAAAGGCTGCAGTCAGTGGCTAATCTTGAATTGTCCTGGCCACTTGGGGGACAGCACTGCCCTTCCGTTTGGAGGCCTCCTCTCATGTCGCCACGGTGGGCAGTGGGGTCAGCTCTTCGCCATCACACGCTTAGGAAACCAGAGCTGGTTGACCCCGAAGCGCCTCCGACCGGCTTTTCCTCCTTCCTGCGCTCCTGCTTCTGCTGAACTCTGCTTCTGGCTCCAGCAGGTACTGACCGCCCTCTCCAGACCAGGCTGCCAGGAAAAGGCCACCGGCTGGAAGTGACGCAACCAGGGTTTGCATCCACTGTTCTAATGGAACTTGAGACTAAACATTTCCACTGCCCCTCTCGCTTTCAAAATCCAAGAGGGAATGATTTTAAATTATTAACGAGTTTGTTTTTTATGGTAGGAGTAATGCAGATTCAAGGTTTTAAAAAACACCTCAAGTAAGACAGGACACCGAGGTTGAGTCCTTTTCCGTCTCCTGGCTTCAGCTCCCTAACCTGTCAATGAGGGACAGTAGTGATACCTCCCTCCAAGGGGGAGTCTGGAGCTTAAAAGAAGGCCTTTGAGCATGCCTGGTGCAACGCCTGGCGGAGAGCAAGCACCTGACATGTTAGTGATGATCATCACAGCCATTCCATTTCCAGAGATGATGGAGGGTCTTTTTCTAGGAACATTCCATGCTTACAAGAAAAAAATCTATGCATATACATGCACACAGAGATGTTATACTTAATGCTCTGCAGCGTAGTTTTCAGTGAATAATAATCTTGGGCATTTCCATATTAAGGTATATCGATTGCCCACATTCTTTTTAAATAATGGGGCAGAATTTCATTGACTGATGTCCCACAATTTATGTGTCCCAAAGAGAGCATTTAAAATATATTGTAACGTATTTGTTCAGAGGTTTTATATTCTAACACATATGCATGCATTTGAATAATTCAAACATCCTTTTCAACATTCACAGATCATAAATTTGATCCACATTGTGTGCCAGCAGCACTGCTGAAAGGTGAACTGGAACCTCAAATCAGGAGCACTGTGGACCAGACTACACATACCCACCTGAGGGGGCTGGTTACAAAAGAGTCTGTTACTATGCTTATTCCAGATTAAATTGGAACAGACTAGAATGTTAAAGGAGGTGTAATAGTTGTTTGTTCAAGCTTTTGCCTACTCTATAAAAGGACCACTGGTTTTACTATTATTTTTCTATTTGGCTTCCTGGCTCCTTGAATTCAATCAGTGTCCCGCTGTTCAGAGGGATTTTGAAGTGTGCGAGTCTTAATTGAAGTGGTAGCGCCTGAGACCAGATTAACACCGTGAGCAACAGGGAGTCCCATCGATGGAGGTAAACTGCTGCTAGCTCTGCATCTCAACTACTTCTGGCTCCTGGGACCCATTTACATTCTGATGGCAGCTGCATGGTTGGGAACTGGGTTGGGCCAGAGCTGCAGCTCCGTGATTCTGCTGAGCGTTGGGTTTCCTTGGAATGTCTGGAAGGAGTTCTGCTCCAGGCTCCAGGGGCCTGGTTGGAGAGCACCTGGCATGTGAAGTCTACTGAACACACCAGGCCCTGTGCTGGAAGCTAGAGATAGAATGCACACGATGAGACAGGGTCCCTGGCCTGTTCCTGGGGAGACAGACATAAATAAGCACAGGAAACAGCTTGTGACTGCAGCCACATGGAAATACACAGCGATGAATGGAGAGTAACCGGGACTCGCTTTCCATGTTTGGTTAGGGAGGGGACACAGGAGCTGAGACTTGATAGATGAGAAAGGCCCAGCTTAGGGAAGAGTTGAGAAAGACCATTCTAGGCAAAAGGAAGAACAAAGGCAAGGCTGTGGGGAGAGGGAAGAGCTCAGTGGCGAACTGAGACGATCCCAGGTGGCTGGATCATGGCGAGGAAGAAGAGGAGGAGAAACTATCCCAAGGGGACCCATACCTGTGTGGTTGTATAGACCACAGCAAGGAGTCTGGATTTCATTCTCACTGCTATGGGAGGCCACAGATTTCAGGCCAAACAACGATGTAGTCTGTTTCCTATCTTTTCAAAAAGATCACTTGAGTTCTCTGTGGAGAGTGCACTGGGAGGAAGGAGACCAGAGGAGGTGATGGCTGTTTCCATGCCAGAGGTGATGGTGGTGGAGGCAGCAGCCACAGCAGAAGTTGTACAGCTGAGTTTTAAATCCTCTCCAGCAGGCCAGAGCCCACTACAGGCTCCAGAACATCAAGATTCTCCATGGATGCCCAATCAACCCGCTCCCCACTCATTGAGCACTCACCTAGCACAAAGACAAATGTCTCATAGCATAGGGGTCATGGGACACAGCAAGGCAGACACCCGTCTCACTGCGTAGAATAAAGTGGGCTCCTACGAATTCACTTTATTATTCTTATATATTCTTTCATATGTGTTACATATGACATGTTTTAAAATGGCATTTTGGCTAGGGGAAGTCAAGAATACCCAGATTCTACCTTTGGCCTATCACTTCTACCTAGACCTAGTTCCACGGCAGGTACGTGTACACAGGAAGCAATGCCAGGTTACTCCAAACCCCAGTTCAGGAGGAGGAGGTAGCTGGGCTGGTAGGCACTGCCCCAATTCCACTCCAGAGAAACCGCTGTTAACATCAGGATGGAATCAGGCTCAGGTGGGAGGAGGGCAGGAAGGGACCATGGTTCCCTCCTCCTGGAGGAAATCCTCTTCAAACAGAGCAACTCCAGCTTAACGTAATTTAAATTGACGCAATCATTGGGGCTTAATAAATGTTACATGGCTTCCTTTCCGTTTGGCTCAAGGAGCCTACAGTCTCCTGTGATGAAGGGCTTGCTCAGTCCTTTTTTTATTTCAGAGAGGAAGGGAGAGAGAAACATCAATTAGTGATGAATCATTGATCGGGTGCCCCCTGCACGTCCCCCACTGGCAATTGACCCCCCCCCCTCCTCTCCCATGGGAATTCGTGACCTCCTGATTCATAGGTCGACACTCAACCACAGAGCCAGTCCTTTTGATCCGCATTGTTAGCCTTATTCCCTACTGGGTGAGAGCCGCTGTCTTGGTCCTTAGAGACACAGCTCCCTCTGCTGGCTCACTAGCTGGGCCTTCGGAATGTTAAACAGAACCCTTTCTATAGTGGTGACATCAACTTCCAATAATTATCATCATAATCTACAACAAGTTGTTTATTATAGAGTATGTTCATCTATTGTTCTAGATTAATAATGTTAATATGAAGTATAGCAAGGGCTCTGGAGCCAGCCTGGGGCCCTTATTAGCAGTGACCTTTGGCATATTTCAATCTCATGAGCCTCAGTCTTCTCATCTGTAAAATTGATATAATAATACTGTGTCAGTCAGGGTCCACTTAGGAAAGCAGAATTTACACTAAACTGTATGTGTTGGAGGACTGAACAAACAAAATGGGTAGCTGCCATCCCTTTGGTGGAAGGAAGAGGTTGGGATGATCAGAACTGTTTCAATCATCTACTGCTACATTACGTTATCCTAAGCCAGTGATGGCGAACCTATGACATGTGTGTCACAGGTGACACGCGAACTCATTTTTTTGGTTGATTTTTCTTTGTTAAATGGCATTTAAATATATAAATCTTTGTTTTACTATGGTTGCAAATATCAAAAAATTTCTATATGTGACACGGCACCAGAGTTAAGTTAGGGTTTTTCAAAATGCTGACACGCCGAGCTCAAAAGGTTCGCCATCACTGTCAGAGGTTTAACGTCTCTGGGTTGGCCAACCAGGCCTTCTGCTGGTCTCACCGGGGCTCGTCCATGCTGCAGTCTTCAGTTGGAAGGTCAGCTGGGACATCTGGATGGCTTGGCCTCGCTGTCTCTTTCATCCTCAAGCAAGTGAAACTGGGCTCCCTCACACGACCATATGTGCCCTGACCGAGGACTCAAACAGGCAACCCCCTGGTGCATAGGTCAGTGCTCAACCCCTGAGCCACACCGCGGGGCTCCTATTTATTTTTTAGAGTATTTTTATGAAGGTATAATTTACAGCCATGTAACTCACAAAATCAAGCTATAAAAGTTCTCAGCACACAAAATATCCCCACACCATAGTCATCTCTTCCTTCAGTCCTCAGCCTCTGGCAACTATTGATCTATTTTCCATCCCTACAGTTTTGCCTCTTTCAGAATTTTATATAAATGGAGTCATGCAGTATATAGCCATCTGAACCTGGCTCCTTTCATGTAGCATAATGCATTTGAGATTCATTCCTGCGTTGCATGCCTGTTTCATTCCTTTTCATTGCTAAGTGTTATTCCATTGTCTGGATTATGTACCCGTTTGTTTATCCACTCCGAAGCTTAAGGACATTTGGGATATGTATCAGTCAGGGTTCTCCAGAGAAACAGATTCAAAAGGAGAAAACCCATCCCCGTCCCCACCCTTCGTTAAGCTACAAGAGGGGCATGACCTCCACCACGTTCTCCTAGAGATGGCTGCGGGGAGGCGGTGGGAAGAGTCCTGTGAGCTGGGGGGAAACGAACGGCAGGGCGAGAGCCAGCCCGCACGTGGCTTCCCGTGCCCATAGACTTCCTTCCCCGCCCACCCATCGGCACAACCCGAAGTCTGGCACGTCTCTGCCCACAGGTTTTTTCCACTCTAATAAGTCAATAAGGGGTGGAGGGCATTACCACTGAACCTTACGCCGACTCAATGAGTCATTTTAATGGCGGACTACTCTTCTTACCCTTACCAATGAGATCATGGAAACCTTTAAAGCCGGCTACCGAAGCTAGGACACCTCCTTGCGGAGAAACGCGCCCGAAGGACGCGGCCGGCCCTAGGGAAGCCCGAAGGGCCCAGCAGAAAGCACCTCCCGCTCCTCCCCGCCCGAGGCCTGCCTGCGCGACTCCGGCCCTCGGCGCGGGGCGGCGGTTGGTGTCCGCGGGCCAGCCGTTCGGACTAACACAGGGGCGGAGAGACCTGCCGGCTCGGACACCATGCGGAGCCAGAGCGCTGCCTGAGCCGCAGTTGAAGAAACCGCTCTCGGGCTGGACGGAGGCGGAGCAGCAGCTCAGGCCGAGCCAACAGAAGAGCCCTAAAATGCCTGGAGCAGTCCTCGGACAGCCCCCAGCGCGAGGCACTCTGGGATTTGTAGTTTATGTCCGGGACAGCGTTTTCGCTCGCTTCGTTTCCCAGCCTTTTAACGTCGCCTTTATTCTTCCCCTCTGGTCCCAGTACTCCGACTTCCTGGTCGCCGCACGTCCTCACGTACTACAGTACCCAGAAGTCTCTTCTTCGCGTCCCAGCGCGCGTCTCCTTTGGACTACAGTTCCCAGAAGCACTTTGAAGTGCTGCCCTCTCTCGTTTCCAGGACCACAATTCCCAGAGACTTCGGTTTCACGGCGGTTCTCCTCTCACTCTCTTCTTGAGTTGGCTGGGCTTCGGCCGGCCAGGGGGCGCACAGCGACGACGTGAGCCCTCGTGACCGGACACACGGCTTCCTCGGCGGCCTGTGCTTCTCCTCACTTAGTTATCCCTTTCACAGGCCGTCGCGGCTGGCCTGAGCTGTGACCTGGCGGGCCGCGCCTGCGCTCTGCCCCGTTTCCTGCCTGGCTGGTGGCGGCGGCCATTTTGTTCATCCTCCTCCTCCTCCTGCTCCTCCTGGTTGGAGCGCAGTGTCCGGAGCGGGCTGGGGGGAGAGAGCCCGTGAGCAGGGTTCGGTGTCCTTTCCTTGTCCCCAGCTGGTGCCCTTCCTCCCCACCCCCTCCCCTCCCCGACCCTGCCCTCCCCCTTGTCCCGGGATCTCTCCGTCGCACCCACCATGATGGAAGACGACGGGCAGCCCCGGACAGCCCCCGGACTCTGTGAGTACCCGAGATGATGGGGTGCCAGGGCGCCGCGAGGCCCGGGCACCGCGGGTCGCTGTGGGAGGGGAGCGGCAGGGGA